CGCGTGGCGGGTCTCTCGATGGTGTTCGTCCAGAAGGATGTGAGGGAAAGTAGAGATCTGTGAATGCGAAGCGATGAATACGAAGATAAGAAGTAGCGAAAGTACAAAATGTCCCCTCCTCCTCTCCATCCCCTTCCCTTCCCCCAAGCCGAATTGCGAAACGTTTTCCACTCAAATCCATCATGAATCAGGAATCTGCAGGGCTTTTCGAAATCCTTCTCTGCCATTTCCAGAGGCGCGCATGAACTACTTTTTGGGGTTAGACCATGCAAAGCTGTAATATGAAACAAAGGGCTCCCGAAAAGTGCCCCATTACCTGAAAGATCCCTTCATGTTAATGTTCACAACCAGGCACGTCACGGTTATGGGATTCACATCGGGGCGGTGGGTACTGGTTGCTAAGGAGAACGGTCGAAGTAAGATCTTTTCGGAATTTTTTTTCTTCCAGAGATGGTTTACCCGCTTCAAACGCGTTGTATGACTCTACCTCCCCTCCCCCACCCGCCATCTCCTGCGCTTCAGCGGATGTCAGTAGTGGGATCGCATTTTGCCAGCTCCATTTCCAAAAAAGGTCTCTGAAGCCTGTCTGTGATCATCAAGAAACACGCCCAGGAAGCCGACTTGTCTGCCCCCATCAAAGCATTACTCAATGCCAGTCGTGAGCCAGTTGTCGTTCGAATAGTAGTTTTGCTTTGTACTCGCGACATCCGGTCCGCGATTTACGTCATCGGCGTTTTTTGTTGCTCATCAGCGGCCTACGCTATCGCTGGCGGCTTGATTGATGTCCCTTTAAATAGCAGCTGTTTGGGCGTGAAAAACCCAGGAACAGGCCGGGAATAGACCTCTTGATTAAGCACTTTTCAAAACGCTGAGGACCAATAACCAGAAAAATATCAAGACCTGGTGAGTGCGCTTAAAAATAGCCCTCAGAATAGTTGGGATAAGCTGTTGGGGAAAGCCCCTATCAAGCAGGCTTAGGTGAAATTTCGCTGCCAGAGGATCTGCGTGGTATGACCCACGATTAAACAATTCATTTTGTTTTGATAGACGTCAGTTAAATGTGGCCAGCTGTTCAGTGCAATAAAGCACCCCACTCAGTGAATTTCAAAATGTCCTCGAAGAACGAACGACTGTAGGGTTGCGATCAGCTGATTCGGCCCACTAGGCCTTTAAAGCATAAGAGGATAAAGTCTTCGCCGTTGATCAATCCCTTTGTGGGATGCGGCACGCATTCTACTTCCATTCAGAATCGTAGTGGCTTATTGAATGCGATGTGGCCTATACAATGACTTGCGGGGCCAGCCGATGTACGAAGGCCATGTTCTTATCCTCTCAGATGAATCTGGTACCAATCTACTGTCTGTGGAAGGCTGAATCCAGGACCGCGCGAGTGGTAAGCGCGTCACTTGTCACTACACCACCTTGGTCTATTAAGCCTTTACGTGGGGGCAGAAGTCACGTGAAATATTCAATCCAAGCAGCGCGCTGTGAGTTCTTAGTCCAGTTGAACTGCTTCGGTGAAATGAAATCTAGGACTCGTGCTCAGATGGAAATCTATTTCATAGAGGAAATTTTCTGTGAACTCAAGGTGCTGATTTTTGAAAGTTAGGGAGACGAGTTCTCAGCACTTGAAGGCAAATTCCACCCTAGTCGTATGGGCGGAGTCATGTGAACCATTGTGCCATCTTCGTTGGCGCGTTGCGCCTTCCAGAATAGAGCGCATCTAAGTGGCAGACACGATGACCCGTCTGAGTCCCCTCATGCGCTTGGCGTAGAGTGTGCCCTTTGATGTGACTGAATTCGGAAATCGAGCCCAACATTGCCCACACTGTACCGTAAAAATATGCCTGGGTTGGTATTTGCACTGACTTGACCCACTCTGGGTGCCAAAAGGTGAATTAATTTCGAAGAACAAAAAGGTCAGCTGACGCTGTTCGGCTTGGGAGGGGCATTTTGCACTTTCGCTAGTTCCTTTTGCTAATTCCTGTTAACTATACGCCACACCTTGATGAGTCCTGTAGACTTTTGTCAAGTGCAAACGAAGCTCCTGCTAGACAGACATAGCTTTACAGGATTCGCACTTTTTCACAGGTGACATCGACAGTGATCGATGGTAACCAGCAAAATGCCCCACCAAGCCAAACTCGCTGGTAAGTCGAAAATAAAGTACACAAAAAGTTTGAACGTACCCGTGTAAGATTATCGATGAACATTTTGAAGTCATCCTTCCTCTCAGTAGCACGGCGAATGATTCGTTCGGCTGAAATTGGCTCGGATCAACTTATCAGTTTTTTTACTGATGATAAACGATTCTTACCAATGTCATCTTTGGCATTGTCGATGCAGTACTTGATGATTGCACGTTGGCTGGCTGTCAGGATTGGTTTACGGTTACCTTGTGATGATACCGAAGCCCTAAAACAATCATCGATACTTTCTCAACCTTATTCGAGGTACTTTAAATTTGCTTTATTCTCTGTGGTATAAGCCGCATTCCGTTTTCTTTGACGTGGAAAACTGTTCTGGAATTCAGCCGAAAAGGTCTACTGCAGTGGTGAGGTCCGCTCCTGCATGTGGTGCCACTGAGAAATTCCCGTTTCTTTTCCTGTGGACTGAGCCCGAATGCGAGCTGCGGGCACGTACTCGCGTTTGAGAATATTTCTGCAAAATGCTCCCCGGCCCCTTCTGTTATGACCCGACGCCCCTCTGAATTTCTTTCTCCGATACGATTTCCTTCCACAACTCCGAAATGCCCATCATTTTCTGGATTTCGTCCAAACTGCCTACCCACTTTCTGAAGTCCGGAGTCTTTCAAGACAAAATCTTGCACCCCAGAAAAAAACATGCCGTCACCTGTGAACGCGGTATATGGTGTTCGCCGCATATATGGTTCGGAAATAAACGTGGAAATCCGTTGAAAAATCAGGCCAACCGTAAAACATTTTTCTCAGACGGCAAATGACAAATACTAAGTCATCGTCCTGTCGCTGCAAATGAACCCTCGCCGCCTCGTAGAATTCAGGCTGGAAGATCTGCTCAACGCAATTCTGTAAAAAAAGCTAAAAAGCGAAGAAAAGTCTGTAAGAGCTCAAGATCGGCAGGTCTCGCGCTCGCTCGCCAGAACTTTCTTGGTGGATAACGCGCTCGAAACGAAAGGGCCGGCCCCCCCCCCCCCCTTACACCACAGAAATATTACTCATCGTTAAATTTGCACTTGAAAATGTCTCGATTTGGGAATTCACACTGGTATACTTCTCCTCTCCCCACAATCAATAATCCATTGAAATTGTTTTCACACATAAAAACTTATCTCCTCTCCTCACACTCTCTCGATTGTGCTGATTGCCCTCTCGATCGCTCTCGATAACTACTATCGTCGTTTACGAAACTCTTTCGAACAACCCCCCCCCGCCACTTAAAGGAACGCCTGAGTCATATGGGCGAAGACACTTCAATCTCTCGACAATCGACTCTGACCCTCTCATCGTCCGTTCAGCTTGCCGTATATATGGACCGAGAGTGCATCAATGTGAAAGCACATGACTGCCTTCATTTATGTCTCCGCCCAAACGATGAGCGTGGACTGCGATTCAAATGCTTGGCATCAATATCAATTTAGCTTCAACACGTTTCAGTTCTGAGGGTGAACGGTCTGAAATACACCCAACGGTACGGGTGTCCACCTTCCTTCTCTACCTGCATGAATCCCTTGTCACCGTTCTACTATTATTTCGGGGTCGTTTTCTAACGCTAACCTGTACGTAAATATCGCTCAAACTCATCTGTCTTCAATCCAGCCCCGCATGTAAATCTTTTGAGCAGTTCATTTTTGCCTGAGCGAAAGAATTCGCGGCGCAGTTCAAATGAGGAGGGAGAGGGGTTGCTTCCCATTGTCCAGCAAGCCATCAAGAGAGATTCGTGGAAACTTGTGAGGTCGTGAAGTATTACCAGTCAAAGCTTGTAGAAACCATTTGTCATCTCTCTTGAAGAATACTTGTCAACCCTTGTAATGAACTCTACAGGTAAGCAGTGAAAACGAAAGATGCCCCCCCCCATCCAAACTGCTCCACATTCTCATGCATGGGTTTTTCAATTTGGGCCCATATATACCACATTCCATAACCCAGCTTCTAATTAATTAATTCCAGTAATCCCGTTTTCTTTCCCCTCTTATTGCAATTTTTTTCCGCAGGAAAATTCGTTTTTTTTTCTGATGGTTTCTCATTCAATTTCGCCTTTTTATATGTTTACGTTGGATTTTATGCATTCTTTTCACTTTTAATTTGGAAAAAGCTCCACATCGAAAGTGGCTTTGCAGATGAATTCAATGAAAGGACGTTTTTCCTTTGATTTTGTCCGCTTAATTGGAAATTCGAAATTGTTTTCACTTCTTTCGCAACAACACGTCCAGATGAAAATCTAAGATCTAAGCTATACTGAAGCGGTGCTCTTGACCTGAAACCGAACATCTGGTTCTGAAAACAACAACGAAACGGAAAAAGCACAGAATTCGGCGCAATTCGGCTTAGTGGGGACATCGAATAGTACAAGTGGTTCACTTGTATCACAT